TGACAGAGGCAAGCAATTTGGAGTCGATGGAGCTCAGACTGATTCCACTATGGTTGCCGCATTCCGGGCGCGAGCCTCCTTTGAAGATGGGAACAATAACGGAGTGGCTCCAGTCGGTTGGGATAGTCTCTTGCTCTTCCATTACAATGAGGATGGACCATGCCGTGGTGCGATGGTTTGTGTGCCTCAACGATCCATTGAGCTATGCTGGGTGGTGCTTTTTTGCACCTTCAGAGCCACTCATACCAGCTTGGTCATTGGTTAGAGGCCAGACAAACCCAGCATACTGGTCCTCCAGGTTGGGGGTTGAAATGAGGGAATCCTTGACGGACTCCTTGTAGCCCAACGCCAAACTTGCTGCCTTGCGGACAGGTTTTTGAACCAAAGGCTTTGGTTGAAAACCCTAATCGTTCTCCTGTCTAGGCCTGGGCAACCTGAAAGTATCCTGCCCACGCAATACAATGAATCTCACTTCAAACAAATTTTTGATGCTCTGGCCACCGCAGAGGATAATCAAGAGTGCCATCTCTGCTGCATCGGGCATGGTGGATAGGGTTTGGATGCTACTGCTCAAGCGTTTCCGTCTTCTTATTCACCTCTTACGCTTTTTCACCCTCATCGTTCTGTTCCAACTTCACTTTATCCCCCCAATTTTCAACCCCGCAATTCTCGTCCCCAACATGTTTTGCTAGGCGTTTATCTTCTAATTTCAACTCACATGCTAACGAAAAAAGACGGTTTTGTGAATGAGACTATTGTCAACTTTGTTGTCTTCTATGCCACGTACAAATGAATTCCGGTCAGCAAGATTCGCGACTGTTGCAATCCCCATTAACGTTCAGCTGACTATTTCGACAGATAAATGGTGGGCTCCCCGAATACTCATCCTAACGTGAGGAAAAACTATGTTATCTCGATACTGAAACGTATACGTACATTGCATCGTATGCCTGCTGCAAGCAGACCGGGAGGTTACGAAAACACAAGTGCCACCTTTGTAGATTGTCTACTGGATTTGTTTGCAGTGCTCACTCTATTATCTTACCAACTAAATCATCTAAAAGTTTTAATAGGTTTAATTCATTCATAACTGCCTGCTAATGAACTAGCTTTATATTGCACGCATTCAAGCTTTTGTTGTTTGCTTGGTTAACCAACGAGCTCAGTTGACAGCGTGTACTAGTTTCATGAAATAGCGTCATCTTGGTTTTCTTTTGTACACGTGCCTTTTAATTAACTCTTTTCTTTGCTTGACTACTGTACTCCAAAGTAAACGATTCACTTGGTTTTGAACTATTCTTTAGAAGGACAATCTTTTGATTTACTAGCGATTTCAGGAATCGTTTCTGCAATGTCGACTAAGAGAAATGCTTGGATATCAACGTCTTCATTGCATCTCCTCAGCGCCATCACCAGCATCAGTAGCACATCGATAAATCACACGGATAGCTACTCTGCTGTCATAAAATGATGAAGAACTTTAGAAGGACGAACACTGAGAGACAAAGCATGGGGAGTTGATGTAAAATCTAAATGCGCCAAGACACTATTCGCGTCCATGGAGCTTACTTCTTGTCCAAACGCATGGTTATAAACTGCTACCTATCATGAGAAAATAAGCGGAGGACCGTTAAACAGATTTCTTCCGGCTTTCCCTGACCATCAAAGGATCTAGGCGGCCCTCCCTATTATGAAGTAATGTACCCGTGCTATGCAAACTTATCTTGTTAGTGGATGATTTACTTCGGCTAGTTGTGCAGATCATTTGGAAGAAACTTTGGTGATTGACTCAGGATCCTGCATACTTCATTTCCAAGCACTTTGGGCTTACCAGACTCTTTTTCCAACACACCAACAGCGTTTCAACTGGCCATTCGCACAGTGATCTAAGTCAATATGCGTTACTTTTCTTGACTCCAACGGGTTTCCCGATCTCACGGATATCTAGTGACTAGTGGGATGACGAATTTAGAACCACAAGTTGAACGCCCACCTGTCGCAGGGCAGTGGAAATACTATTCCACTTATTCCATATATGGATTGGGCATAATGTCAAAAGTGCACCCTATGAAGTTTAGCTAGCGATGGTTGGCATAGCTATTAACTTACCAGTTTTGACCAACTCTTGATGCGTAGCTGGGCAAAGATTTGGAAATATGTGGCCCACTAGAGCACGTGTTCCAGTAAGATCTGCAAAAATGCATGGAAACGGACTAACTAAAACCTAGTTACATATGCTCTAGTTGACCATTAATGTGGAATATGCTCCTATTAACTACCTTAACTATTTGTCTGTGACCGAAATATCTAGTCCCATTTTGCACTCTGCCGCAGTGGAATACTGTGAGAACAAGACCGCGACACAGAAATGGCGCTTCTACAGTATAGAAAATTACCGCGCTATAAAACACACGCTTATTGTTTCCAAGCTACTGGAGAGGATGGTGGAAGAGAAGATGTCTGGGCACCTTTTGTCGGAAAAGCCAAATGATAGCTGGCAGCAAAGGCTTATAAAATCACAATCCTGTGTGGCCTGTAAAACCAATTTACTCAAAAACGGGACAAAAGTCAATGATGTTGGAAAAGCAGTTGTCGTAGTTTTCCTAGATTTGCGGAAAGGTTTTAGTCGGTGCCATATACAAAATTGTTGGCTTAAGTTTGATACTTTGCAATTAAAGCCTCTTGTTAGCATGGTCAAATTAATACCTTTTCCCATCGAAAATAAATAGTAAACATGGATAATAAGTTCCCAAAACTCACCGCACTCCCCAGTGAGGTAATCCAAGGTATCGTCTAGGATCCCATCCATTTCCCTACTACATCGATAACATACTTGAAAAAAGTCGAACATGGAACGGCACTTTATTTGCTGATGGCATAACATGGTCTACTCATTCAACAAAGATGGTTGAATGTAGCGTTTGAAAGCGGCGTAGTTAAGATACAAAATGCGAAGAGCCTAGAAGAATCGCTTTCCGCTTTTGCTTTTTTCTCTTACTCGGCCATACTTCCCTCACGAATGCCATATCCATACCATACCATATACGCATGAAATTTAAAGAGGTGAAACAAACTGAAGTCTTCGATCTTACTACTCGTTAAGTGTACCGTCATTACTCAAAATGGATTAAATTTTTATTTGTCAAAAAATGGAGAAAAGAGAATGCAAACAGAATCTCTGTTCAAATGTGTCCACCTCCTAACGTTTATTGAGCAACGACATGAAAGGGAAATCAGCATATACGCAAACGCTTGTTTACTGGTCTATTTCCTCCCTGTACTTTCCATTTTCCCGATCATTATGTCCAATATTGCTATTTGTTTAATGTAACGTGGTCGCCTGTACTTTTCGTATTCGTAAACTGCATGTAAATGCGAGATACATTTCCTGCCATGCCGATTTTAGTCTCCGCACTTACAACTGTTAACCAACCTAATGTTATACCTTTACTAAGCTTCTACTCACGTTTTCATGCTGACATATCTACATACTTAGTATAGAAAACCTTTTCATTTCCGGTCATATCTTTCATAAAATGCTGCACGGATGCCATATTCAAACGCGATAAACGTAACATTGGTAGTTGAAACTTGTATAATCACCGGTTATGTTTAAGAAGGAAAACAAATCATTGCGTCCAGAAATAGTCCATGCATACAACCGGACTTTAATTTCTTTGATAATCCTGCACTTGAACATACATATAAATTGTTATGCGAGGGCATGGGACATTTAGAATACCTTAGATCGCACCCTTTTGGGATGAAATGCTCATAAAGCAGGAAATTATACTAGTTACGTACTTATAATATGCGTTATTCACGTTTGTTCAATAAATTTTGTGATCCATCATACCATTGCAAATTTGTGACACTGTGCGACTCTCTGGTAAGGTATGGCGGGTGACATGCGGACTTCTGGTTAAAGTACTAAAATGTCTCCGTTATGATCTATCGAAGCGTCATTAACGGACGCTAGAAGGATTAGTTTTCCCTAGTGCATACTGTGTTAGGTAGACCGAGATCCGTCAAGTAGGTAGCTACACTAGCTAATTTGGCAAAATAATCAAGACGTCACTTGCGCTTAGACGATTGATAACATCCGTTACTTCTGTTATTCGATTTGGACAATTTTCCACTTATATGACTGTCCTCTATACATGAGAGATTTACTGGCTATCTAGTCGGCAAAGCGGCACAGCACAGTAACCCTACAGAAACACTATGTGTACAAAATTCGGTGTCATATTCTCCAGTAATTCATCGTCCAGAATCACTTTCATAAACTTAACTACCACGTCTAACTTTCCTCCCAACAAAAGCAATAGACTCGTTGCTGTTCTCTTCTGTACATCTTACCGTATTTCAGAATTCTCCAGCGACAGAGTAATTGTTGACAATTAATTCTTTCGGGGGTATTAAGCTTAGTTTGGGCTATCATCGTGATACGACAAATTGTGCTTAGTACCACAGTCAAATATTCCCTACATGTCGTTAATGAACCGCTTCGTGCATGAACAGTAAATTAAATTTCGAAATGGATTTGGAACATTGCTCGAGCCGTTCTACTTAACATCTACCACTCTCATTACAATCAAGTACAGTTTTCGCCACAAAGCCAATTGGGATTATGTTGCCACTGATGCGACGGATATGCTGAGTAGTACAACCATGTTAGTTCTGATAAACTCAATTTAGATTGATGTATTTGGGGTAAAACTGAGGTTTTTGATTGAAAAGTATGCACTTTCGACATTATCGCTTTTAATAAGGCCAGCGTGTGTATATTATTGGAAGGTTTGATGAACAAACCCGGATATCATCAACGGTTGCCTCACTAAAACGTTAGATTTGAATGAGAAAAATCATAAATCGGAATGTATACATTTTCTTAATGTGGTTCGCTCTATCTACCCTTAGTCCCATACGGACTTATGGTCAAAAAATCTGGCGTCTAATACGTAACAAACGCAAGTTGGTGTTCTCCCAGACGAACCAAATGGAAATGGATACACGAATATATTTACCTCGCATAGACTCTGAACTGAAATACTTTCTTATGGAATGGTGGAACCTGTACACATATGGAACGAAATTGAGTTAAACTGTTGGCATGAATGCATTTGGCAGTTGCATAAACAAAATCCAATCGACCACGCAGAGGCCATTTCCGTGAGAACTTCGCGAGGTTGACAAATCCTACTATCTAGTCACCTTGAAACCAAACGTCCAGCATTTGGCAACTTTAATAGCACAGCAGTTGAACAGATAGAAACCTCGTAGACGTTAAAACACTCTCTGAAGTAGGATCGAATGTAATAATTTAGACACAGACGCATTTTACGAGATCAGTAAGTGACTGCGAACATGTCTACTGTCAAACTCCGCTTTTCCGGTTGGTGTCACCGTTGCGATGTCCCCCTTTCAAAGATTGGAGACAAGGGACACAACCTGTCGGCAAGGGCAGTGTAAAATGCCAGTGATGCTCAAACGAAATTTACTCCACACAGGCCATCTGTATTTCGTCGAACTGGCACTCACTTCAGTGTAACTCGTGCATGGCGATTCATGCGAAAATCTTGTCCCCTGGGAATAGCAATGACGAATGGATTCCTACAGATTTTGATTAATTAGGTTTCATAAGTGAAGCAACCTGTCTCATCAAACAATGTGGTGTCTTTTGGAACATCCTGTGGAACACAAATCAGGTAACTGGTGTACTTTGGTGCCCAGTATATGATCTGCTTGCTCCATACCTGATGCAAGGCAGTCTGAGCAAGTTCGTTGATAAAAAATGTTTTACTACTCCGGTAACTGCCGGGGACGCTCCCATGTGTAACTGGGGGTAAAAGAGCATACCCGGATGTCATGGTAAAACGGACCGGCCAAGAACCGAAAAGTTCGAAGTGTTTACTGGATGAAGATTGATTTTAGTTAGCAGGTTAATGTGACTTGAAACCATGCTATAGATGAGAGTATTGGTTGAAGAGGACTGTGTAGGGCAGACAGAAGCTAATAATAAGCCGATGAAGTAAAATTGAATTTTATGTGGCCTAAATATGAGGATGAGGGTTGGGTCATCAGCCTGTAGTCAAACAAAATTAATAACAATATCATCCGTATCAAAAGATGAACTAACTAGCTAGTCATTAATATTTAGCCATCAGGGACTTATCCATGGTAACTGGACATTGAATTAAACCATTTTCTGTGATAAATTGTATTGCCTATACTACGACTACTGGCTTGCAGTCAGCGCAGCTAGATGTTTCCTTTATCGGCTCGCTCGTCGATCATTGTAGTTCGGAGTCAGGCAGTCGTTCGCCGGGTCGAATTACAGAGTTGAATGAATATTAACCTGGGAGCATAGGTCAGATGATTAGGTAAAGTAGCGAGCGAATTTTTACTAGGTAGGAGGGGAAAACAGGCGATTAGTACACAGAACGCATCGGTGCAGATTGATAGTGGAATGCTGTCGTCTAGTTAGACTTGGAAGAAATGGTAGACACAAATGAGAAGACACTGACTTCTGTCATTTTTTCATAAGGTATCATACACCAAAGCAAGGAAGCGAGTGAACTCGGAGCTCGACTTACGATGTGCATTAGCCGAAAGTGCACCAGAAACTGTTAGAAATAAGCAAAATCAAACGTCCTATTAACGTACATCATCCCTTGATTATTAGGAAGGTTCGGTCAAAACTATGTACTTTCCTTATTTGAATGCTTTAAGTAAGTAAATAAATGTAAGACGCAATGAGAAGTTAGCCTTCTGAGGAGTAACTGTTTATAGTGAACACACTTTGTGGGTAACTGTCTCAAAAAGGTTGAGAACCACTTGATTAGGGGATACAGACTTTCGAGTTACCCTATATGCTTGTAGGTAACAGCAGAGACCGCGGTATAGGTGAAACCAGTATAAATTCTGAATAAGGCTCGTTAGTCTAGAGTCCAGTGTCCCACAAATGGATTCAAATCTTGGCCTCATGAACTACACTAAGCGTTGCTCTGCGTGTGAGAAGCATCGAGCAACGAGCACACGATTCTTCGTTTGTTACGTTGCTGTGATAGGGGTCTATTTACTGAGCTTGTGAGTGGCATCAAGGCGCATAATTGTTCCCTCTGGAGCTTAAGGGGGATCACCAGGAATCGCAATCTGGAAACAACGATGTGTTCCTTAGCTCCGCTGAAATTTAGCAGCTTCTGAGTTTCTAGTGTCCACGGCAAGTGACCCCTCTGATGCAGAAGTCTCTTACCTTCTTTGTATGGGAAACGAGGCCTAAATGCACAGCTGGAGAGTTAGCAGCCAACTGAACGTACGATCATGTGCCACAATCCGCCTTACCAAGAAAAATCATTATGGGGACAAACGGTGAAGAGTTGAAGAACAAAGATCAGGCAGCTTTGATTAGAAAAGCCTCAGGGGGTCAACAGCGGATAGTCCTGGTTTGCCAGATGACCGGAATACCCAAGCAGGTCACAGTACTTACAAATAAGACATCGCTCAAAGTTCGTCAAACAATGCGGACGGCTACATTTTTCACTTTTCGCCTGTGTCATCTGTGGAGTGTTCATCCAGCTTACAGATTTTCTACTCCACGTTATCATCATTCACGAAACAATTAAATGTACCTTAATCCAACTACATAACTCCACTCAGCTCGTGTTCATCGGAATGTGATGTCATGTGATGTCAGCCCCCTTCCGTCGTCTTGTTTAACCATCATGGTGTGCCGACAAGCTCGCATTTCAGCCAATATATGTGTGCCCTATTGATTTCTAGGCCTACAACCTGACAATCTTTGGAGACATGTTGAGTGCCGAGTTTATGTTCGCAATAAGTTCCCATACAGTTGTTATGTTTTCATGGGAAACACCAAGCACCTGTAGATCATTTCAGCAAAAATGAAGAAATACTTTTGGTGCATGACCCCTTTAACAGCCTTCAGACAATCCGCAACTGTAATTAAGCCAGAGGTTCATATCGCTAACCACTGAAAGATACCAAACCGAGAGAGACCAGTCAGTATCCTCTCAATGATTCACCGGTGTCTGTTACTCAGTACGAAGTATCTGCAACGATACTGAACTCATTGAGGTAGACACAGTGTTGTCTGGTAGCGGTTGGCACCACTCACTGTAGCGGTCATCTAAGGTAAGCGTGCATGACGAATGCGGGTGCCGACCATAGGCAAGGCTACTCGTTTCCGGCACATCAATTCAGGGCTACAAAGTCCCATAAGAATGATGGCTGTAGCTACTCACCGAATTAATGAAAAAGGAATGTGCACAGAAAGTGCTTGAGGCGGAAGTCGGGGGCTGGCTTAAATGCTTACCAACCCCCACGAAATCGGGGGGTAAACAGAGGTACTTGTGTGTTAACGTGGATATTACGGTGAGTCCGTTTCACTTTAAACTCATGTTTTGTCTCGAGCTTATGTAATTCAAACAAGCTATCCTGCGGGACCTGTTAAACCTTGGCTCTTTTTATCCGTATAATAGCATCTTTCCTTCGCGAAAACAGCGGAAATCATCATTTTCAAGTGGATATTTCTAGTATTCTACGCAACAGCACATAGAGTAAGGCTCACCGAGGAAGGTTGTCCGTCATCTAAATCCTTTCCCGGACTTCACTTGTTTTCGCTTTGTTCAGCGCCTGTTCAGTGATTTCGAAGCAACTACTGGGTCACTAATGTTTATCTGTGGCTAATAGACTGAGGATGCATATTCCATGCACGAAATACGTGAAGGAAATTATGTAAGGTGTTTAAGCGGTCCAGAATAGGTAGTGGACTTGGCTGTTAGCATAAGCGACTGTTGGAAGAGCACCTTCGAGAACCAACGCTTATTTGTCATTCACGTATTTATTTATTACTTCGCAATTATTTTGGCACGAGACTTAAGTTGGGAGTTAGGTATCCCTTATTTTGCAGTTCAAAGCACATAGCATGCATGTCGATGTTCGGCTTGCATATAGTGCGCAGTGTTTTGCTCCCTAACTTGAGGTTACGCCAGCCAGTTATAGTTGCCAGACTTGTCCAAAGAGTAAAACTTTAACTGGTGGGATAGTTACAGTTATCACAACGTTGTCAGAAAATATCGAGATAGGCTGTCGCACTGGTTCTTTTGATTGTCCACAAAAAGCTAGCGCTGTCAAAATTATTTAACTTAACAGATTAGGTCTCCTGGTACTGCATATGCAGTTTTTAATTTATTTTGATTCACATGGATTAAAAGCTGTTCACGAGCGCGAAGTAAGTTACCCACTCATTCCCACCTATCCGCTTAACGAAACCAAGGATGTATATCACAATGTACGGAATTGTTGTCACGGTGGCTTTTCCACCCGGGGTGTCACTGCTCTTTATTCCGTAAGTAACCAACAACTATATTACTTTCTGTCACAATGTCTGGCCGTTATCCCTCCCATCGGTCAAGTAGTCGTAAAAATCCTCCATCTTTACTTTTACATTATAACGTTAGTTCCCTTGAATAGTATGTGGTAGTTAGCTGTTCATTCGACCGTGAAACCCAAGAAGGACTGACGATGGTTTATTTTGGCATCTGGGCCAGCACAGTCACCTGCGCGATTAGTTTCTTCCTATTTTCTCGCCATCTCCTTGCAGTACAAAATGCGGAGGCAACTAGTCCATGCAAAATCACAAAAGTAAGTTATTTCTAACAGTTTTCAACATGAGTCCTTATGTACTAGTGCGATGGCAACCCACACGATTGTTATCAGTTACGAATGATCCCTACGTCTAATCATTTACCGAATCCTAATTGATCACTGACGAAAGCGTAAACTAATGAGCGTAGTCAAGTTGGTTGGATCTGAATTAACTCCAAGGAAATTGTCCCATAACATCCTCCTGCGAAGTTCATAATCTTGATTTATAGATCTTGGTATGACAAGTGATTCACCGTACCATGGTATTGAACTTAAGTACAATTTGAGAAGAATACTGAATCAAAGTAAATGTCCGGCAATATGCTTCGCAAAATTAATGTCCGTTATAGTCTCCAACGATGTTGGCGTGTAACTTGTTTTATAGGAGATCTCCTCACCCATCTGCACACACATTTATCTTGCTACCACTCAAGTTTCTGAAAATATTCATAAAGAACCAGACACGAAGGTCTAGTTTACCTACATTTACTTCCCTGAGAAAGGCCATGGTGACTCGCTCGTCGTTCAAGATAGTTCTCTATAACTTCAACACTAAATGTCGATACCAGGTGCTCGAGAGACACAGGAAAACATATGGCAACTGAGGACCACAAAAGCCACCACCCGATACGTACATTACAGCAAGGAGTACTTGTCCAAATTCTCCATAAGAAACTAAACTACCTCTAGCCTATTAGGTTATCTTAGTCGAAACATCGAATAAATTGATCGATCAGCATCAAATGCACTTGTGATGTGCAACGAGATTGGAGATGTGAATCACAACCACAAATAAGCATACACCATGTTATTCATCTAAAAACTACGGAAACAAGTTCCGTTGCTCCTGTGAGTCCAAGAAGAACTGTTCCTGAAGTAAGTCAGATTATTTTCATCAACCGTTCCCCCAAATGACCGAATGAATAGTTTCATACCTGAAACTTCCTAGTTAGGCGTCCAAAAGTGTGACTTGCGTGTAAAATGCCTGCGAATACGCTAAATCAATGTGCATATATCGATGGGCAAAACCTGATATATGTATACGTTTTCGAGATCAAGAAGGCTAACTCATAACAGCAATAGCAGTTAGTCTAATTTAGAGCACTTATGTGTCCAAGCATAATTTCTTGAAGGCTTTGATACTTATACAAATTATTATCGTCCTGATTTAAGACACATGTGATGGAGTTTCATTAAGTGTAAATTGAATCACATGAAAATCAACCGGGAGAGCGTTGAAGAACTGCACAGAGCTTACGTTTATTAGTGTATAACACACCTCCTTCGGGCCACTAAATACAGCGCAATTGCAGTACAAATTCGATTACCGGTTTAATTCTTAGACATGCGAATTTTCCTGGTTTACTTGCAGAAGTTCATGGCTGAACGCCAGTCTCCCGTGCCTCATGAAACGCGTGCGCGTAATGAAAATAGATAGTAAACATTCTAAGTGACTGTTATTCCTTCATATTTTAATGATTATCATATACTAGCATCCAAATTTAACTGTTAACAGTCTAATTCTGCGTAACACGAAGTACCGAGCATTGAACGCACTCACTTAATAAGCGAATACGAATGCCTCAAGCCCTCTGGAAGCTTGTCTTGAGAGAGTTCGCCGTCTTCGAAAACAAGTGTGTGCTGTTTTCTCGGTGGTTTCTTTGCAGATTGTTTCAGTTTCGTCAGTAACGCCTGTACTGCTTGTCCATCTTCAGCGTCTTGGTCGAGTTTCAGATTGGTACGACTGTTTGGTTTGGGAGGGGGTAAGATTCCACCCAGATGGGATCGTGATAAGGATAAACAATGATGTGACCTGGTCGTTGAAGTGGAGTCTGTATCGGTGCTCAACTTCTCACGTTCGGCAGAACAACTATACGCATTATTGTCCATACAGGAGGGGCGGGAAGGACCAAAAGTCTGCAAGGTGTTCATGCGTCCGAGGGGTTCAAAACTGTAAGCCAATGAGGCACCACTAGTGGACGTGTCATTCGAGTGTGCCGATGCTGCCGCTCTACCGCCTACGGGAATAGGTTCCGAAATGATTGGCACAAGGGGACCCTTCAAACCAGCCGCTTTAGAAGTGACGAACCCCGAAGGTTCTATTGACTGCGAACCCACCAAAAATCCTCTAAATTTTTGCCATTGTTCTTTTCGCTTTCTTCTGCGACGTTTTTGGAACATCACCAATAAAATTATTAATAAGCTAAGCAGAAGAATGACCAGAACGGAAAGGAAAATAACTGCACTGGTCAAATTTCGCACAGATAGTGTATCGACAGGTTCGGTCTGCTGATTTAATTCCTTGGAAGATGAAAAGCGCCTATCTGATATAGCACGGGATTCACCAGAAACTTGATGTTTTACAAATGGTTGCATGAACCAGGGTAGAGAGAGATTTAACGAGTTGTCTGTTGTGTTCGCCACTGGTGGTGGATTTATCGTAATGGGTCGTTGTGTATCTGGTCCTGCTGACCCACCGCCCACACTCGGGACAACACTCACATACACTGACTGTTGGTCCACTACATGAGTAGATTGATTATCACTTACTACAGCGAAACCAACGTGTTCAGTGGCTGCGACAGTAGTGGTTGTTTCTTCTGTCGTTGAGGTGTAGCTTGATGATAAGGGCGGTTTTGGCTTCAGCGCTTGCGTTGTACTGGTTGAACCAAGTTTCATCTCCGGCGCTACCGTCGGATTTTCTATAAACAACACGGAGCTAGGTCCTTCTACTGGGATACTACCGATATCGACATATGCATTCGGTCGCCAGCATCCTAGCGTATGATCGACCACAAGGTCGCCCACGGGATCCCACCGAGTAGGCTCCTTGCGACACTGGTTTTCAAATAAAATCTCGTTCTCCGCTTTGTATCTTGAAGCAACAACCTCAGAACTGATGTTAAGAGATTGTAAATCTGACTGACTCGAAACGACGAGTGGCATAATGAAGAAAGATGGCATGAAGGAGTGCTGACTGGTAGAATCGCATATTGGGTAGGGACTTAGCCAGGCTAAGCAACCATACTTGCCCTGACAGTGGTTAAATCGGATCTGCCAGCTTTCCCAAGGAAGCCATAAGCGTTTGAACGAGGGTTTTCGGTTAATGTGATCACAGAACACGTTTAGTCGGAAGTAAGGAGGGATAGAAGGATTTTTTGGACTTACGTATGACGCAAAGTTTGCTCCTAATGGGGCGGGAATTAGGCTGTCTTCGTTCCATCTAAGTGGGTTCCACAAAGTCAGACGTGTCACGCGGTGCCTGGTGGATAGATCCCCGACATCTGCTCGTCGTATATGTGCGAACTGAATGAATGGTAGGATGAGGTGTACCGGACTATGAGCCATACGCACCCGTCGTCTAACTGCTTCCACCACCCATCCAAGTACGCCGTTTGCTAGGTAATCGACCGTAACACGCCGCTCTGCGCTGCCCGAACGCCGTCTGCGAGATGGAGTCAGAGTTATCTTGAGATCATAACCTCTGCCATCATTAGACACAAATGTCGGAGGGTATTTCTGTGTACCAGTGGGAGATGTGGGACTCATTCGGTAAAAGCAGTCTATATACTCCACGGCAGTTTTATTTTCAACTTCCGTCTCTTTGCAGTCCAGAATTAGTTTTGATGTAGAATAGTAACGATGAATGAAGCAGAATATTTTAGGACAGTTAGAATCATCAAGGCCTCTTAACATGGATGGAGAGACTTCAGTATCCGTTTCATTCGCCATCTTTGCCCCGGAAACGGTGTTGGGTTGGTGCAACTGCTGTTGACGCCCACCGGTTGGATAATACTTCATCACCTCTTCTCGCTTCGCCGAATCATCGTGACCGTTGGGAGGATTTCCCACTTCAGATCCCTCGTTATCTAACGTAATAACCAGGCTGTCTATCAAGGGCGGCATGTCCCCACTGGCGAACATTCGTTGAATTATGTACACGAAAAGGTAGAGATGGCACAGACGATCTATGAAGATGAAGCGAAGTTCGATGGTCCAGTCTGCCTTCATTCCTAAGGATCGATAATGAGGCGGTAGGGCTACGAATCTGAAGATGTGAAGTAATCAGAAAATGTTGTGAGGTACTAGCTGGCTTCGAAGTAAACACATGCTGCACTCGGACCAACCCCATCACGGCATTTTTCTGGTGGGGCATGCGCACATCAACCGTTCGTCCTAGAAATATATATGTTTGGCAGGTATCTGATTGGCTAAGAAGCCGACCGTTCAAGGCTTCAAGCGTCCTCACCAATCAGATGTGCGACTGTTATGTCAGCTGATTCTGGTGTGTGATCGTTGTAGCCGACTAATGCGTGAGCGCTTGTGAGGAGCAGCAGCCGTGGTAGCGAGTTCGTCAGGTCACCACAAAGCATTACGTAGAGTCGAAGTTTCCCAAGCAGATAGGTTTAGCTTGAGCAAGTGAAGTGATTATGACTTTGACAAAGCAGTATGCCGGGTTGCTCATAGTGTGTCTAAAGTGAAAAGGCCGAATACAGAAACGTATTAGCGGTTGAGAGAGTCAGCTGGTATCAGCCACTGAAGTGGTGTACTCGGGTGCAAGGGTTCATAGCCAATATCTCTTAGATTTTAGAACATGAAAATATATAGAGCTGATAACAAGCAAACATGAAAAATACTTGGAACCGATCGAGAACTCATGATTTCAGAAAGGTTTGAAAACAACTATACCAACCGGTTGTTTTCAAACCTTTTTGAAAACAAACATGAAGTTTACACGCAGCTCTTTCCAAAGTTTGCCATGTAGCAGCCACCTCAGCTACTGACAATCGATTGGAGTTTGCTCGTTGCAAAGTAGGAAAAGCTGGAGGTAACAAAACTTGCCACACTGAGGAATTGTTCAATGAGTGCAGTGCATTCGGCGGCATTTATCTTTTCATGATGCGTTGTTAAGGGTAGATTTCCCTAGTCCACAGCAAACTGGAGTCGCCAAGAGACAAGTCTGGGTAGGGAACGCAATCAAGTACTTTTACTAACAACCCCATGCGTGTGTTGCAGGTTGTGTTCTTTGGTACGAAGTGCGATATGTGATAGCAGCTTAGATAGTATCAAAAAGGATTCGTGTACCGACGCAGTCACTGTTTCTGTCACGGGTTAGACTGGTCCTCTTGGGTGATCAGTTTCTACTTAAGATCTCATATAACTTGACACAGAAGCAACATTTAACTTCGCTAGGCTGAATCCAGTTATTCACGAGGCAAATAACTGCCAAATGCGCCACAATGCATTTAAAAGGGCAATAGGAGGGAATACATGGAGGAACTCTGCCTTACATTGATCGTATATAAGTATCATAAGTTTATATTGTGCCTGAGTAGCTATATGCATGATTATTAGGATGGCAAGTGTTGTTGTAAATACATACCACTCTGCAGATCGCTTTTAAAAGTACGAGTTTTGGCCGTGTGGGCTGTTGGCCAATAAAAAACAAGTACTAGAGCACCTTCCGCATGGCTTAGACTCGTAAAGTACCACATCAAATTTATGGGCGTCTAGGGAACACGGACGAAGTTACCTAGTGTATATCATTCATACCATTGCATCGAAGGATGTAGCCGCAGTTCCCATATTGTGAGAGGTCAACCTCTTGAATTTTTGCTGTGACAAGGCTCGATTACCAAAAGCCTACTTGACAAGACTGCATAAAAAGCCAGAGCTGAAATTTTGGCAGCTTTAGGCGTGACGGGTGGAAAGCACTAGGCAGTGGCCTCTGTGTCCGCGCTATAATACATGTTCCGCATCACGGGCACACAACGCTACAGATTGCCCGTGGGCAATTGAATCACATCAGATAGTCTGATGCATTTGGAGAGCAGAAACAGATGTGCCAGTTACAATTAAATTGCTCTGCGCAAAGCGTAAAATCGATCTGTCCCTTGTCTACGCAGCGCTATTTTCTATACTCGGTGGCGAGTTGGTTCAAATTTCCCCTCTTGGTTCATTCTGCTAGTCAGCTCATTCGCACAGCTCGAGGTAACTACAACCTAAATACCAGAAGACCTAAAATTCTGATTTCCATATTCCTACTACAAAATGGTGGTACGTAGGTTCATGAACCCATAAGCACTTAACTAGAGAGGCGGATGTTAACTAAAACTTTATCAGAAAAACCCTCGTTTGTCTGTGATAAATATAGAATAACCTGAAGCGAGAAATGAAAACCTAGAAGCAACTGATATTGGTCCGTGTTATGTCGCTTTCTGTAGTACATACTCAACCGCAAGATATCACCAACAATATGGGTGCAGCGGTTCACTGCCATACAGTGTATCACACCACGCTTTGCTGCATATATCTGCTCACTGTCCGTATTTTAGTGACCTTGACAGCCTACTACTTTTCGGAGTAAAATTCCTCCTACTGAGGCCAAGGATTTATGGAACAGTGGGTTCCGCAAGTGTAAAAAGTGTAACGCTTAACACCTTCCGTACACGCGGAGTAAGACCAAAATATGAATGAATCAGGAAAATTTAATGCGTAACGGTGTACTTATAACAATTTTCACTTGTACACACTGTTTGGTTACGTGGTCTCCTGTCCCAATATCTTGGGTTAACTCATGTTTAACATGTCTTGTAATACATTATCAAGTCGAATTTTTCATTCAGCTGACGTAGAAGCTATGACAGAATACGGAAGAACGTTTAGCGATTGGAATACACGAATAGAGAAAACGTTTCAGTGGTAATCCAGCCATGAATGCTGCATGTCTAGCTTTAAATGGTGTCCTTTAAGTGATGTGTTGCGGCTGAATTGCAACAAGTTTCTGTATGGGTGTTTCGGATCCTCGATAAGCTGATACGCTAATCTGAGATCACCTCGCAGACGACAATATCTTGTTCAATGAAATCTCGGGGACTTTTGTCTGAATTGGTAAGGGAGGTGGAAAGAGCGCTCAACATTTTTAGTCGCTTTTCGTCATTGATTCTGAAGAGTAACGAGTCCATGCTTGTTCAGGAATATCAGACATGGATGAGGTAGTAAAAAGTGGACTAATGCAAGCGTTGAGCAATTGCGAAAAAAGTAGAACCGAACTGATCAAACGCTCCAAACAATAAGTAAAACTGCATCTACAGCGACTGCTTCCGTGAATTTAGCAATCATTAAAAGAAAAGTAATTAATCCTTAGTTTTGAGACACAGCACGATTGTCTGCCTTGTAATTGGAGTGAACTTTCTACGCTTTCACATTATTGGAACCTCCATCTCGTCGATGCGACGCTAGAGAAACTGTGACAATAGTTCAGCCCACCTCGTGGCAGCTACCATCAATAAATTGGGACGTATGTTATCCGCACCAAGTAAAATATGCTCGCGTAGTGACCCCAGTTGCTTTAATACCTCCGCCGCAAGGGATGAGTGTGACCAGGTCCTGGTGGTTACGTCAACTGAGTGAGGAAGCTGCATGCTAACGAAGAGTTTTAGAAAAAGTAAGTAAACTGACGTCTAAATGCGTTAGCTGCCTCTGGCGCAGTTTGTGTCTGCACTATACAGTTCTTTTTGTTCAAAGATGCCTTATTGCACTCTTCGGAGTTATTTAACATTGTTGCAAAGTAGTGTAGAAACGAAGGAGAACCTTTTTGCTATCCTGTTGGTGCATCTTCGCAAGTCAACTTAACACATTAGTGTCGCTCGTTTATGTATGCATTCCAGTTTTTAATGATCGGATCGGGTTTGTATGTTTGCCAAATAGAATCTCTCTATGTGCTTCGTTTTCACTTCCAACTCCTCAAGTAAAATTCACCTTTTTGAGCTAAGGATCGTTGTCTCTGCTGCGTTTGTTACAAACTTCCTGCCCTGGTTGATGAAATCACCCCAAGCGACATCAAGAGTTGTTCTGTTGGGTCAACTAGAGAGTTGTGATGTGTTACGGGCTTCTTCAATGTCTTCCTTGAAATGCTATGCGTCACAGACTTAGCAGTAGAGCAGTGTTCTATGATCGCTGCGCCCCAAGTGGCTACACTGTTTTACTGTGTTTATCATAGTTTCCTGATTTGTAAATACCTAGTCCACAATTAATGGTTTGTTCCCCGTTCTGAATCTCGTAGGAGAAGTGACATGATTTCGGAGCGGTAGGTCAGCGACGTATTGCAACTCAAGTTTAAAGTGCTCACCAAGTGGAACCGGGAGCTACAGCGTTCAATTTGAAGTCTCCCACCATAGGTACTGGAGTATTGGACATCTTAAATGATTTTCAGAGCAGTATCAGTGCTGTCCATTTCTAACGGATGTGACAGAAGGGGATACGAGGGCAACTAAACATGTGTCACTACGTCTTAGTTGCACGTGGCATCAAAGTACGTTCACAAATTGGATCCTCGGGACGTCAAGAACTTGAAGTTATAGATCACTACGATGGTACAAATTTACGCCACCTTATTTACTATGTCTACTTTTACGTATAACAGACATATCTGTAAGAATGACCGCCGCGTCAGTGATTTCATGGACAAAAATGAACAATGATTTATAACGGGTAAAAAAGCATATGCTTGACAGGTCCCGTAGGGTGGTTGGAGCAATAGATAAAATGGAAGGATAATCGAACAAGTAAATCGTTTTTTATGCCTCTACAGATTTCAACGCACCACTTCATAATGATGGTTTGAAGTATGGACTGGATGTCTGCACCCAAAGTAGAGCTGTTATATTACAGCAAATGTGGGAAAAAGAAATCAAAGGAACGGATAACGCTCACTCGTGTGTTGCTTCCGTTGAGAGATGTGGTATGTTACTCCAGTTTGTATACATCCATGTCGTTCATTGGGACACTTCTGTATGTAACATCACAGCCACTTTGCGGGGAGGGTCAGTAACCTCATGGTTTGGGTCTCGTTATTTCGTCCTCCGAATAGGACGTGCTATGCCAAATAATGCAAGTTGGAAAGTGTGTCATCTAGGCGTTTTTTAAATAGTGCCAATGTGGGGGCAAGGACGACGTGAGTGGGGAGCGCATTCCAAGCACGGGACACACGGAGTGAGAAAGCGTTTCGTCGACAATCGAGTCGGCTGTAGTGTGTAGCCAGTTTGAGCTGATGGCCTCTCAGGTTGATATTTTGGCTCAGCTGCAAGAGACTGCGACATGGGTGATTTGGATTCATCAGTAGTAAGTAGACCATGATGAGGTCTCCTCGGTGACGA